TTCATCAGAGACTTGAGGGAAAGTTTCTTTCTCTCTTTCTTTTTCCATTTTTCCAAATTTAAATTCATGAAATATATACAAGTTCTCTAAATTAAAAACAACAGGATATTTTACCGACTTTCTGTTCTGAACTAACTTAAAATTTATGTTTCTAATCCCCAGACATATGAACTAAAAAGCCTGAAATAAATATAGATCAGTCATGTGAGCTGACATATGAAGCAGTCAACTTTACTCTGAGGGGTTTTGGTTGATCTTTCAAGTTTCTAAAAGTATTTGGAAGTGGGAAGCACTGTTCTTCATATGAAATAAAAGGAAGAAAAAAAGACCTTACAGTCAGACTCATTGTCAAAAAACTAATATTAAGATAAGCTGAAGCAATCAAACAAGAGCATTTGCAAATCACTTGTTGGAGGTAAAGCTGGAAGCCTGTGCAGTTCAGGAAAATGGAAGATGAGATGGCTGAGATCCCATGAACAGACCAGGCCCAATAGAAACTATAATAACAACAGAGCTCAGTTACAGGAATTTTCGATGATGACAGAATTTTAAAGACATGCTTCTTCCTTTGTATTGACTAAAGATCTTCAGGTTGAAAGTGTCAAGATCTGCTTAATAGAATATCCTCTGTTGCAATATTCAAAATCATCAGGATACTTAGATCTCAGTGAAAAATTGATGGTTGAAGAATAACTGAAGTATTCAGTCCATAAGGAAGCCTGAAGCTCCCTACACACCTTGAATTTCATGCTAAATAATCTACAAGTTCTGGAAAATGCTGCTTACTCTAGAAAAACTGACTAACCTTGATCTTGGTCAGCATATACTTGGTTCTTTACATATCACTTATCAATGTTCAGAAAGGGAGGAATACTTGAACTTATCCAATACAAAAATTCACAATTTAACTAATTGTTTCCCAGATACGACGCTTACTAGATGTGAGCATTGTAAACTTTTATTTAGCTGCAACTTAAAGAAGTTTACATTTTCAGATATGTGTTGAAGACTCTCCCAGATGCTTTCTCCCTCTTTGAGAAGAAGCAGGAAAAGAAAACTTTCTCTAAAGGGCAACTTGACTCTTTTCACACACTGAAGACTTTGGAAGCTGGTGGCAACAACTTCATTTGCTCCTGAGAATTCCTCTCCTTCACTCAGGAGCAGCAAGGGCTGGCCAAAATTCTTATCGGTTGGCCAGAAAACTACCTGTGTGACTCTCCATCCCATGTGCACGGCCAACAGGTTCATGACGTCCGTCTCTTGGTGTTGGAGTGCCATAGGGCAGCACTGGTGTCTGGCATGTGCCGTGCCCTGTTCCTGCTGATCCTGCTCATGGGGTCCTGTGCCACCGTTTCCACGGCCTGTGGTACAAGAAAATGATGTAGGCCTGGCTCCAGGCCAAAAGGAAGCCCAGGTAAGCTTGCAGCAGGGACATCTGCTATGATGCATTTGTTTCTTATAGTGAGTGGGATACCTACTGGGTGGAGAACCTTATGGTCCAGGAGCTGGAGAACTTCAATCCCCCCTTCAAGTTGTGTCTTCATAAGCGGGACTTCATTCCCGGCAAGTGGATCATTGACAATATCATTGACTCCACTGAAAAGAGTCACAAAATTTTGTGTTTTCTGAAAACTTTGTGAAGAGTCAGTGGTGCAAGTATGAACTGGACTTCTCCCATTTCCGTCTTTTTGATGAGAACAATGATATTGCCATTCTCCTCCTTCTGGAGCCCATTGAGAAGCCATTTGCCTTAGTCAATCTGGGCTGCTATAGCCCAAATGCCAATAATCTGGGTAGTTTATAGATAACAGAAATTAATTTCTTACAGATCTAGAGGCTGGCAAGTCCAAGATCAAGGTGTTGGCAGATTTGGTATCTGGTGAGGAATTCTTCCAGGCTCAAAGATAGCTATCTTCTCACTGTGTTCTTACATGGCAGAAGGGGTGAGGGAGCTGTCCGAAGTTTCTTTTGTAAGGGAACTAATCCTGTTCAGGAAGCTTCTGCCCTCATGACCTAATCACCCACCAAAGGACCCACCTCCAGTACCTCACATTGGGGGTTAGGATTTCAATAGCTGAATTTCAGGAGGACACACGCCTTCAGTCTATGGCTAGGATCATTCCCCAGCACTTCCGTTAAGCTTCAGAAGATAATTAACACCTAGACCTTTCTGGAATGGCCACTAATGAAGCTCAGCAGGAAGGGTTTTAGTTAAAGAAAAATTCTAGTTTTTAAAAGGAAGATATATACAACATGAAATACTCTCAGTTTTCAGAACTAGGTTCTATGTTAACTTACAAGTTTAGTACTATTATTTTGCATAGGCAGTATTTTTGAAATGTCTTCAAAAATTACAGACATATTGACATCTGTTCAGAGTAAAAAAATTTTGAAGAATGTATGTTCATGTATAAAGATCTGTAAAATAATGCAGGATTTCTGACATATTTTCATTAAGTGGTTTTTTGTGGATGAGTTTGTTATTATTTTATTTGACAATTACAAAATACTTTATGTGAAAAAGATATAGACTCTGTGTTTTGTTTTTTTGAAACAGGGCCTCACTCTTATCTCCCAGCCTCAACCACCTGGACTCAAATAATCCTCCCACCTCAGCCTCCTGAGTAGCTGGGGCTACAGGCACAAACCACCATGCCTGGCTAATTTTTGAATTTTTGTAGAGATGGGGTCTCCCTATTTTGACCAGGCTGGTCTCAAACTCCTGGACTCAAGTGATCCTCCTGCCTTGGGTTCCCAAAGTGCTGGGATTACAAGTGTGAACCACTATGTCTGCCTTGTGTTTTTGGATAACTTTCGGATAACAGTTTAGGATTTCAGTTAGATGCTCAAAACTATGAATATATACAATGAAAGTTACCCTTTCCCCAAATATTAATACATTTCATATGCCGTGTTGATTTTCTAACTTTAATCAACATTTTTTTTTTGGTAGAGAGTTATAGGAGGTGTTATATCTAGATACAGAAGGAGATTTGGAGTCTAACCTGGGATTTGGAGTCTAACCTGGGCCACATGTTAACTGTGAGCCATGCAACTCTGGGCAAGTTCTCTAATCACTTTAACCAAAGGAATAATAATATCAGAATTATTTATTGCATGTGTTATTGTAAGATTCAGATGAAATAACAGATGTGAAGGTGCTTTGAAAATGTCAAGAACTAGGCTGGGTGCAGTGGCTCACACCTGTAATCCCAGCACTTTGGGAGGCCTAGGCGGGTGGATCACTTGGTGCCAGGAGTTCGAGACCAGACTGGTCAACATGGCAAAACCCTGTCTCTACTAAAAATACAAAAGCTAGCCAGGCATGGTGGTGTACGCCTGTAATCCTACCTACCTGGAAGACTGAGGCAGAGATCTGCTTGAATCTGGGAGGTGGAGACTGTAGTGAGCCGAGATTGCACCACTGCACTCCAGCCTGGGTGACAAAACAAGACTCTATCTCAGGAAAAAAAAAAAAAATGTCAAGAACTGAACAAGTATAAGGACTGTGTCTGAGTTGGATGTGCTAATAGCTTTGTGGACTGTGTACAACCACCTTCAGTATACGCAGAGGACACTGATAATAATTTGTGGCTAAACAAATGATTTCTACTTGACTTTGCCAGAATATTCTAATTGACTTTGGGATTATAGAGCAATAGCATCAAAATTCATCTTAGGCAGTTCAATTAAGGAAGAGAAATAGAGAAAAAACAAATTTTTAGTTTCAGGAGAAATAATTTGAAGGAAGTTTTCTTGTGTCAGAAATCATAAGGTAGAGAGCTGGAGATTTGGAATTAATAAGAAAGCATTTTCAGCCAGCTGGACAACCTGATGGTCAGGATGAAGAAAAATAGTAACATAGTGACCTGTATACAAAAACCTCTCAATTTCATGTTTATGTCTATTGATTAAGTTTCCCTGATGTTCCAACCATCAGAGAGGATTAGGGATGTGGAACAGAGTAGGAGAAGCAGCCCTAGATTTAAGGTAAAATTCTGGTTTTAAATCTCAGTTCTGTCATACATAATACAATTCGTATGACATTTTCTTGTGTAAGGGAGGAACAAGGATGCTTGCTCTGCTTCATATCTCACTTTGTGAAAATCAAATGTAATTATGAATATAAAAGGTAGATTATTAATATTAAGGCAGTTGAATTTTAAAAGCTTGTTTTCTTCCCTTATACGTATTCCTAACCGTGGAGACAGCTAGGTTCTGTGGCAATGAAGAAAATTGATCAATGACTGTGTTTGGTATTACTTTGGGAAATAGGGATGGAATGGGGGCAAGGAAAGGACTTAGCTTCAAACTGTAGATAGAAGTGGGAAGCCCAGATCTTTTCATGATGAGAACTCGGATGGAATGTACGTGCTAGAGATGGTGCCCCAGTAAGGACTGTCACAGGATTGAGGAAAAAAAATCCGGGGCTATCCTTATCTGTTCCCTTAGGCAAAATCATTCTGTGTTAGTCTGAGGGTGACTGGTGAACCTATTTTAATGCAGGAGAGCACAGACTTCTGGGTGGAAGCGGACCCTGGAGATGTACTGGCAGGTGAATAGAGTGTGGAAAAGCGGGGAAAGGAGAAGTGTGATTCACGAGCCTGAATTTGGGCTTCCATGGATGGAGAAGCATCAGGAGTGGAGTTTAAAGACGGTGTGTTTCAGGTGATGTAAGGTCCTGGATACCCGAAGCGTCAAGAAAATACTGGTTGGGCACGGAGCCTTCCCTCTGATTGCCATTCCCACGCAGGCCTCCTCTGGCCTCTCGCTTCGCTTTTCCCTGACTGGAACCTCCGCCAAGCCCCCAGCTCTCTTCTTCGACCCAGCCTTCCACGGGGCAGCGATCCGGGCAGGACCTGCCTCTGGCCTGTCGCAGCCTAGCTCACGGTCCGGGCGGGAGCCTGCCGGGAAGCGCCGCCGCGGTGGCTCGCTCTGGGCCACCTGCCTGGAGCGCGGCGCGAGGTCCAGCGCTCCCTCCTGCTGCGCGGCGGTGCGCGTGCCCCGTGGAAGGGGCGTTCCCACACCCCAGAAGGAGGGGGCGCCTGGCCGCGCGGACTTTCCCTTTCGCTTACTTCCTAGTCCCGGGCAGGTCGGCTCGGAGGCAGCGAGAAAGCTCAGCCAGGCGGCTGCTCGGCGTCCTCCCAGGTAAGTTGCGCGCGCCGCTAATGGTCTCTCTGCACCCCTTCCTGGGGTCAGGTCGGGAAGGGGTGGAAGGGAACCGCGGCCCGGTCACGGACTCCGGGGACCCCGGGCTCCTGCTCGGTTGCACCTGGGCTCCTAGCTCCTGTCCGGGCGGGGACGGCGGGGAGTGCATCAGGCCCCCGGGATGCCGGTGCTTCTCTGCGCCGCCCGGTGCGGGAATGTGGACACTAGCGAAGCCGGCTCAGGTTGGCCCTCGAGAGAAGCAGGAACTACACGGAAAGGGAGCCCGCGGGTCCTGCGGAGCCCGAGGTCCGGACCCCGTGAGTGCAGTGCCAATGGGCTGTGGCTGGGCGGAGCGCCCTTCTAGCCTTGCAGGCCCCTGGGGGTCGCCGTGGCGAGCTTCCGCCTGGGCTCCGGGCTGCTGGCCGCCACCTCCCTCGGGAGGCCCCGGCCCGGCCCTCCCGCTTCCCTGATTCCCGGTAGGGTCGGCCCCCCTTGGCCCCTCTTGGCTCTGAGCGTGGATGACAAAGATTGGGTAAAGGCTTTCAACGAGCCAGTGGAGTTGAATGCTAGCGTCTCGCGGGGGGTGTGTCCTCTCTCACTGGTTACTGCTAGGATGGAGCTTGGATTTTGGTCACTGTGGCTCAGAGGTGGGAAAGGTTCCGTGCTCTGGGTCTGTCCAGGACCCTGGCTCCCTAACCCAAGTCTGGCCTCTGCTCCCTGGCAGGCTTCACCCCACCTCTGAGTTCCTTCATTCTTAGGATGTGCGAGTTAGGTCTCTGATTAGAAAACAACTTACAGCGTTTAAGCAAAGTCGAGTTCTTCAAGTAAGGATGCTTTGAAGTGCCCTTTATAACTTCTTCAGTTTCTATAAATATGAACTTGTATTTAGAGCTTAAATGCAAGCCAGGAAAGTCTTTTTCCTGTTTGAAAGAGAGAGAGAAAAAGAGAGAAAGAGGTGATCGGAGGTGGTGGGTGGGAGAGGAGAAAGAGAAGGAGAGTAATTGTTCTGGGTGTAGACAACTCAGTTTGCTGAGATGACTTTAATCTTTTGACTCTGTTAGTAAGATTTTTACCAAAGATCAACTGTAGATATGGTGGCCTGACTTGAAGGGACAGACCAAACAAAACACAAAACAAAACAAACAACAACAAAAGCAATAGCAGAAAATATTAGAAAATGATTTATTCACCAATATTTTCAAGTTTCTTCCTGTTCTAAGCAAAGAACATCTTTAAGTTCTTTATAATGTACCCATTTTACATTTACAAAAACTGCCAGAAGTTGACAGCTTGTTTTGGGAGTTTCTAAGCTATCAGTTAATTTTTTGGGGGTACAGTTTTATTGATAAACTAATAGAGGAAAAAAAGTCTAATGGAATACCCCCAAATTTAAAAGAAGGCAAGAAAAGAGAGACAATAGAACATAAAACAAATGGGACTAGAATAAAGTACATAATTGTCACAGTCCCTTTGGTGCTGCTGTAACAAAATACCTGAGACTGGGTAATTTACAAAGAACAGAAATTTATCCATTCATGGTTCTGGAGTCTGGGAAGTCCCAGACTGAAGGGTTGCATCTGGTGAGGGCCGTCAGGCTACATTATAACATGATGGAAAGCATCACATGGTGAGAGAGAGCAAGAGAGGACAGAACTTAACTTTTATAACAAACTCATTCTGACAATAACCTGCTCCATTGGTGATAATGTTAATCAATTTCTGAGGGTAGAGCCTTCATGACCTAATAACCTCTTACAATAACCTGCTCCCTTGGTGATGACATTTCTGAGGGCAGAGCCTTCATGACCTAATAACCTCTTACAAGGTCCCACCTCTCAACACTGTTGCATCAAAGATGAAATTTCCAATACATGAGCTTTGGAGCACACATTCAAACCATAACAATAGTTCAATTACTTTAAAGCCCAAAATATCAGTAATTATATTAAATGCAATTTAATATATCAGTAATTAAATGAAAAAGACTAAATTTTATGATAATCAGACTAATATTGTCAGACTAGACTTCAAAACAACCTAACAATCATATGCTGTTTACAAGAGACACATTTATGGATACTAAAAGGTATAAAGTGAACAGATGTAACCATTTATCAAAAGAAAGCTGTCATGGCAATATTACTATTAGACAAAATAGAATTAGGAAAAAAAGTAAAAAAGTCATAACTGTAGATAAAGAGAAACATTTCACTAAGTTAAAGTTTTCACTGAGAAGAAATAAAAATTCTGAATTTATAAGTACCTATAATAACACAACATTAAGAAACTAGAAAATAGAAAAAGAATAGAGCCAAATTGACAGAACTAGAAAAATATAGAAAAATAGAAAATTCATAGAAAAATCCACATAGTGGGAGATTTTATCATACATCTCTCAGTAACTGATAGAAAAACCAGACAAAAGATCAGTAAGGATAAAGAAAGTGTGAACACAATGTAATTGACATAAGGAACCTATACTACTTCCAACAGCTGCTGAAATCACAGAACGTACTTAAAATCTGACCATATACCGGCTCATAGAGTAAACTGCAATACATTTTAAAGAATTTAAATCATACAGAATATGTCTTCTGACCATAATGCAATTAAAATAGAAAAGAACAGAAAAACTTATAGAAAATTCTCATATATTTGGAAATTAGTAAATACATTTCTAAATAACCCATGGGTCAAAAAATAATCAGAATGAAAATCAGAAAATATTTTTAATGAATTATGAAAAAAATTACATATAAAAACTTGTCAGATGCCCTAAACTACTGCTTAAAGGAAACTTACAACCTTAAGTGCATATATTAGAAATGAAGAGTGACTAAAAATGAATGCAAGCAAATACCTTAAAAACAAGAAATGGAATAGTAAAATAAATCCAGAGAAATCGGAACAGGGGAAATAATATAACAACAGAAATTAATGAGCTAGAAAATAGAGGATCTATCAAGTCAGAAGTTGATTTTTGAAAATGCTAATAAAAATGACAAACCTCTAGCAAGACAATAAAAGCTGGTACAAATAATTCATCTAAGGAATAAAATTGAGGACCTATCTTTTGTTAATGACATAAGCAGGAAGCCATTAGCCTGAGACTGTCTCTATACTTTTAGTTGTTACATAATAAACTGCAACCTAACTTAGTATACTACATAAACAAACTGAAACCTTATTTAGGAGTAATTTTTTTTGTAATTAATAGCCAAATTTCTACCAACCATAAATAGCTAAGCTTTAGCCAGTCACAGGCAGCCAGCTGATCAGACTATGCACAAACAAGGTAAATGCCTATTACACCATGTGCAAATAAGACAGACTTCTAGCTGAAGCAAATCAGGTGATTACTATGCTCTTGTGTTTGGCCTATAAAAGCTCACTGCTCACACTGTTGGGTGCTCTCTGAAACTTCTGCGAATCTGAGTGCTGCCTCATTCATGAATCATTCTTTGCTAAAATAAACTCTGTCAAATTGAATTTGTCTGAAGTTTCTCTTTTAACTGTTGCAAGCAGGATCCAAAGGAGACCTATAGTGACCCTCAGGAGCTCGTAGTGACCACGTGAAGGTACCTGCGGGGCTCATTGTGCCCATTGCCCTTTCACTGCAACTGGTAGTTGTGGGTAAGTTCCTGCTCAGACTTGAGTGCTATACATTTGCATTTTCAGCTGTCTGACTTTATTTGAGCAGTTATTTGACTGGATTGGCTCCAGAATTGGATTGGATTCAGTGAAGAAACTGAAACTGGACTGGTGCTCTAGGAGGCCTCCAATAGATAAGGTTACTAGAAGACAGGGAATCATGGGCTTATCTGGATTTAAGGAGTCTACAACTCCTCTATCTGCAACTCCAGCTGATTTCATTTATAAGAATTATGGACCAAGAACCTGTGCTTTTCTAGAGAAATGTGTGAGCCTTACTAAAGGTAACTTAGAATTACAGTGGACTGCCGAGACCAGCTCAGTTGTGGAGACCCTATCCCAGCAGCACTAGAGGAATTAAAGACACACACAGAGAAATATAGAGTGTGGAGTGGGAAATCAGGGGACTCACAGCCTTCAGAGGTGAGCGCCCTGAACAGAGATTTACCCACCTACTTACTGACAGCAAGCCAGCGATAAGCATTATTTCTATAGATTATAGATTAACTAAAAGTATTCTTTATGGGAAACAAAGGGATGGGCTGAAACAGAGGGATGGGCTCGGGCTAGATATCTGCAGCAGGAACATGTCCTTGAGGCACAGATTGCTCATGCTATTGTTTGTGGCTTAGGAATGCCTTAAGTGGTTTTCCGCACTGGGTGGACCAGGTGTTTCTTGCCCTCATCCTGGTAAACCCACAACCTTCAGCGTGGGCATCATGGCTGTCAGGAACATGTCACAGTGCTGCAGAGATTTTGTTTATAGCCAGATTTGGGGCTAGTTTATGGCCAGATTTGGGGGCCTGTTCCCAACATGTCCCCCTTTTTTGTTTTGCAAAGCAATAAAAGCAAAGGCAACTTTGTCACGGTGGGCTACTTCTCGCAGGAGTCAGGATTCGCATCTGCGTACTATTCAAAGACAAACAACACAGATTAAAAGCACAATCATCATTGAAATCACAGAGCCTCCAAGTGTCTTTATCTATTTTAATGGGTTAATTGCTGCTAATCTGTCTGCAGCTCCTTCAGGCACTCCAGTTCCTGGCATTAAGGTCAGGTGTGCCTGGGATACTTTAAATATTTGTTCTTTTAATTTTGCAATATCCAAAGACAAGTTTATAGAGTCCTTCTAGATGCTTTTTTTTTTCTTTCCTGAATTTTGATCTTATTTAAGAGCCATTAATAGTTTCCACAAATCCTTATGTTTAGCTCCTACAGCGGGCCATATCATTTGAGAGTGAGGTGCCACTATACCTTCATGTTTCCAGATAATAGGAACTCTTGCCATATTTCTTACTATTTCTACCATCTGACCATTTTGTTTAGACCAGCTGAACATAGTGTGGCCATGGGATGCAGAGGTGCAATTTAAGCTGAACATCCCCTTAGGGAACCAATCAATAATGATTCCAGAGGAATTGTTGCACAGCACCTCTGCCTGTTCTGCAATGCAGTCTTCCCAAACAAGTATGTTCATTATTTCTGGCCAGGTCCAATTCTGTTTACAAATAGGTTTTTGAGGATGGTATGCTTCAATTATAGAAACAGATTTATTGTGGTAAATACTGAGATAAGAAAGCATGTGTAACTGTGTCATAGAGTGATTACATCCAGGCATTATTGCCAGCCAAGATTGATAAATATGGCCAATAAGTATAATTGTTCTCTGTGTCAGCCCTTGTTGAAGGAATACTCATGGCAATGGTGATCACCACTATCATAGCTATCATTAAATTACTCATTGTGACTGGTTGTCCTGCTTTCCTCAGGTTTTCTTCCACCATCTGTGACAGTTTCTTGATCTGTCCCCAAGTAGGTGGCTGTGTTCGATGGTTGTTGCTCATGATAGTTGGGGTCCTCCTTAGCATCATTCTTGACATGGCTCCAACCAGGGGGTCCTCGGGGTCCTCCCAGAATCTCTTCTTTGGCATCTGGCTCACAATAAAGTTTCAGGTGTCTTGACGGTGTCCAAATCGGCTGTTGATTCTGGCCTGGAGAAACACAAGCATAACCTCTACCCCAAGTTATTATTTTACGTATTTCCCAACTTTTTGTTATCAAGTCTCTCTGCCAAGTCAGTTGTTTTGCTTCTGTCTTTGCAGCTGGTTTCTGTAGATGCTGTTCAGCTGCTGATAGCATCTGGCCTTTTAAAAAAATTTAAAGTCAATAATGCTAGATTCAGTTGTACATGGGGTGTCCCGTAATCCCTGTTTCCCCCTTTTTGCTTTTGCAACTGCTGTTTCAGGGAGAGATTCATTCTTTCTACAATGGTTTGTCCTTGAGAATTATATGGGATGTTAGTAATGTGTTTAATATTCCATATAGACAAAAATGTAGCTAGAGCTTGGCTAGTATAGCCTAGGGCATTATCTGTTTTAATAGAAGCTGGAATGCCCATCACTGCAAAACACTGCAAAAGGTGACACTTAACACAGGCAGAAGACTCTCCTGATTGGCGTGTAGCCCAGACAAGGTGAGAAAAGGTATCCACCGATACATGTACATAAGCTTGTGTCCCAAATGAGGGAACATGTGTGATATCTATTTGCTAAAGGTAATTAGGTTCCAATCCTCAAGGATTAACTCCTCCTGTAAAAGATGAGGAATGCACCATTTGGCAAGTTGGGCATCACTGGATAATAGCTTTAGCTTCTTTCCAGGTACCATTGTATCTGCGTTTGAGACCAGAGGCATTAACATGTGAAATTGTGAAAGTGTCTAGCATTAGATATTGCAGCAGCTACTAGGCGATCAGCCATATGATTCCCTTCAGTTAAAGGTCCTTGAAGAGGCGTATGAGCCCTAATGTGAGTGATTTAAAAAGGGTGCATTCTATTCCTAACTGCTGTTTGCAATTGGGTAAATAAAGTCGTCAGTTGTTCATCTGTATGAAATCATAACTGAGCATTTTCAATTAATTGTGTGGAATGAACCACATATGAAGAATCAGAAATCACAAAAGCAGTCAATATCTCAATTACAGCTACAAGCTCTGCTTTTTGAGGTGAAGTATAGGGCATCTGAAAAACTTTACCTTTCGATCCAGAATAAGAGGCTTTACCATTACTAGACCCATCTGTAAAAACATTCTCAGCACCTTCAATGGGTTTAAATTTAGTTATTTTAGGGAGAATCCAATTAGTTAATTTCAAAAATTGAAATAATTTTGTTTTAGGAAAATGATTATCGAGAATACCCACAAAGTCAGCCAAATGGGTTTGCCAAGTAAGACTATTTATAAAAGCTTGCTGTATTTATGCCTTCGTGAGGACAATAATTTTTCCAGTATCATATCCATGTAATTTAACAATCCAAGTTCTCCCATTTCTTATCATCATAGCGATTTGATCCAAATAAGGAGTTAGAGTCTGTGAATTAGTATGTGGAAGAAAAAGCCACTCTACAAAGTCCTGCTCTTGTACAATAACACCAGTAGGTGAATGCTGAGTTGGAAAAATTAGCAAATCTAGATTCTTTTCTGGATCTATTCTATTTATTTGAGCTTTATGGACTTGCTTTTTGATTAGCTGCAGCTCTGCCTCAGCTTCATTTGTTAATTGCCGAGGGCTAGTGAGACTAGTATCTTCTCTAAGGATAGAAAATAGATTACTCATGGCATAGGTAGGAATGTCTGGAGCAGGTCTTATCCAATTAATGTCCCTTCGTAATTTTTGAAAGTCATTTAATGTTTTCGATTGATCCCTATGTATGGTTACTTTCTGTGCCACAACAGTAGTGTCATTTACTAAGGTCCCCAAGTAGGAGTAAGGAGTAGTAGTCTGAATTTGGTCAGGAGCTATAATTAAACCGGCATGAGAAATCAAGTTTTGCAAGTGATCCTAACATTGGAGTAACATTTCTTGAGTGGGGGCAACACAAAGTATACTGTCCATATAATGAATAATGTTAACACTGAAAATTTTTTATGAGTAGGTTCAATTGCTTGCCCTACATAAGTCTGGCAAATTGTTGGACTGTTTAACATGCCTTGTGGCAATACTTTACAATAAAAATGCTTTAGCAGGCTGCGGGTTGTTTACTGCAGGAATTGTAAATGGAAACCATTCAGTCTTGCTTGGCTAAGGGGATAGTAAAGAAACAGTCTTTTAAATCTGTGACTATTAAAGGCCAATTTTTTGAAATCATAGCAGGAGAAGGCAGTCCTGGCTGCATGTCCCCATAGGTTGTATAACTGAATTAATGACTCTTAAGTCAGTTAACATTCTCCATTTACCTGATTTTTTCTTAATTATGAAAACTGGAGAATTCCAAGGGGAAAATGTTAGAGCTATGTGTCCTTTTTTAATAGTTCAGCAACTAAGTCCTCTAAAGCCTCCAGTTTATCTTTACTTAGCGGCCATTGTTCTATCCAAATTGGGTTATCTGTTAACCACTTTAAAGGTATAGGTTCTGCAGGCTTAACAATGGCCACCATCAAAAATGATATCCTAAACCTTGGTGGGAACTTTATCTTTCTGTTTGAAGCATTTCCTTCAAAACTTGCAAATTTTTCCTAGTCCCATACCAAGGACGTACCTCATTTCATGCATCATATATTGACTTTGAGGGCTATATAATTATTCTGGAATTAGAACTTGTGCTCCCCATTGTTGTAATAAATCTCTTCCCCATAAATTTATAGGTACAGAAGTTATAATTGGTTGAATCAGGTTGTCCATTGGGTCCTTCACAATGCAAAATATAACTACTTTGATATACTTCAGGGGTTTTACCAACTCCAACTATGTTAAATTGATCAGGTTGATTTGGCCATGCAGACTGCCAGTGCTGTAGAGAAATGATTGAATTGTCCACTCTTGTATCTACCAAACCTTTAAATTTCTTTCCCTGAATAGTTATTTCACAGGTACGACGTTTATCAGTAATTTGATTCACCCAATAAGCTGCTTTGCCTTGTTTATTTGTGCTTCCAAATCCTCCTGTTCGTTTAATTTCGCTTTTCCCCGTTTCCACATATGACATAATCAGGAGCTGTGCTATATGCTTTCCTGGCTCTGCTTTCTAGGGAACAGAAGTAGATATAACAATTTGAATTTCCCCATTGTAATCTGAATCAGTGACTCCTGTTTGTACTTGCACTCCTTTTAAATTTAAACTAGACCTACCTAGAAGTAATCCTGCCATCCCTGCTAGCATCATCTAACTGGAGACAGCAACCTTCTTTAACAGTCCCATTACAAAAGGAGAACCTGGTCCATATTGATTAATAGCTTGTTTAAATTCTGTGAGTAATTTAAAAGGAAAAGGCTCAAATGCAGCTATGACATTTCCCTGTTGATCTGGGGGGTGTATTCTAACAGGGAACTGCCAAGCCTCTATATCACCCTCTCTTCTAGCTTGCTGAATTCCTGGCTGAATAGAACTGAGAGTGGTCGCTCGAGGTGCTATTCAAACAGTCACTGGGGCAACTACTTTTTGCCCAGTGTCCTCTGGAAAAGAAAGATCTGGAGGGTCGGGCCACTGTTTTTCTTCAAAATAATGAGGGCATGCAGAAGGGTAGGGACAGACCTCTCCCTCTTTTGCCACTTTAGCTGGCAAACAAACCTGCTCTGTCACCTCTTCTGTTACTTCATTATACTTTCCTTCCTCCTCATCATTAGTGTGAAAAGGTTCCAAGGTGGAACGAACCAGAGCCCACACTTGTCCCATTGTTACCCAGATGCTTCTGAGTTCCCCTTCTTACTCACCACAGGGTTTGCTTAAGAGTAGTACTTGGGTGTCCTCCAGCTTAGTTCCATGTTTTCCAACTGTCGCTCTGGTGAGCCTTTGACCTGGTTTTGAGCCCCCACGTTGGGTGCTGCTTGACGAGACCAGCTCAGTTGTGGAGATCCTAACCCAGCAGTGCTAGAGGAATTAAAGACACACACACAGAAATATAGAGTGTGGAGTGGGAAATCAGGGGACTCACAGCCTTCAGAGCTGAGATCCCCAAACAGAGATTTAACCCACGTATTTATTGACAGCAAGCCAATGATAAGGATTATTTCTATAGATTATAGATTAACTAAAAGTATTCCTTATGGGAAACAAAGGGATGGGCCAAAACAAAGGGAAGGGCTCTGGATAGATTATCTGCAGCAGGAACATGTCCTTAAGGCACAGACCACTCATGCTGTTGTTTGTGGCTTAGGAATGCCTTGAGCAGTTTTCTGCCCTGGGTGGACCAGGTGTTCCTTGCCCTCATTCCGGTAAACTCACAACCTTCAGTGTGGGCATCATGGTCATCTCGAACATGTCACAGTGCTGCAGAGATTTTGTTTATGGTCAGTTTTGGGCCAGTTTATGGCCAGATTTGGGGGCCTGTTCCCAACAGTGGACAAAGAAGAAAAGCTTCTTAAGGCAAACAGGCACATCTTTTTTAAAGCTACAATAGCTATACAAACCAAAACATACACAAGATGTTTTGTGTATGTTTTACTTTTGTATTTTTATTTTTAATATTTGTGGATACATAGTAGGTGTATATATTTATGGGGCACTTGAGATATTTTGATACAGGCATACAATGGATAATAACAACATCACGGTAAAAGGGGTATCCATTACCTCAAGCATTTATCCTTTCTTTGTGTTATAAACAATCCCATTAAACTTCTGGTTATCATAAAATGTACAGTAATTATTGTTGACTGTATAACCCTATTTTGCTATCAAAGAATAAATCTTATTCATTCTATCTAACTATATTTGTGTACTCATTAACCATCCCAATCCCCCTCCAACTACACTTCCCAGCCTCTGTTAACCGCCATTCTATCTACTCTCTTATCTCCATGAGTTCAATTGTTTTAACTTGTAGTTCCCACAATTAAGTGAGAACATGGGATGTTTGTCTTTCTGTTCCTTATTTTATTCCACTTAACATAATATCCTCCAGTTCCATCCATGTTGTTGCATGACAGGATCTCATTCTTATGACTTAATAGTACCCCATTGTATATATGTACCACATTTTCTTTATCCAGTCATGTGTGGACAGACACTTGGATTGCTTCTAAATCTTGGCTACTGTGAATAGTGCAGCACTAAACATGGGAGTGCAGATATCTCCTTGATATATTGATTTCCTTTATTTTGGGTCTATATCTAGCAGGGGGATTGCTGGTCATGTGGTAGCTCTTATTATTAGTCTTTTGAGGAACCTCCAAATTGTTCTTCATAGTGGTTGTACTAATTTACATTCCCACCAACAGTGTACAAGAGTTCTCTTTTCTCCACATCCTTGAAGCATTTTTATTGCCTGTCTTTTGGATAAAAGCCATTTTAACTGGGGTGAGATGATATCTCATTGTAGTTTTGATTAGCATTTCTCTGATGATCAATGATGTTAATCTGTTTTCATATATCTGTTTGCCATTCATATGCCTTCTTTTCAGAAATGTCTATTTACATCTTTTGCCCATTTAAAAAATTGGATTACTAGATTTTTTTCTTATTGAGTTATTTTATCTCCTTATATATTCTGGTTATTAATCCCCTTTCAAATGGATAGTTTGTGAATATTTTCTCCCATTCCGTGTATTGCCTCTGCACTTTGTGGATTATTTGATTTGCTATGCAGAAATTTTTTAATTTGGTGTGATCCCTTTTGTTCATTTTTGCTTTGGTTGCCTATGCTTGTGGGGTATGACTTAAGAAATCTTTGCCCAGACCAGTGTAATGGAGAGTTTTCTTAATGTTTTCTTTTAATAGTTTCATAGTTTGAGGTCTTAGATTTAAGTCTTTAATCTATTTTGTTTTTATTTTTGTATATGGCAAGATATAGGGGTCTAGTTTCTTCTGCATATGGATATCTACTTTTCCCTGTACCACTTATTGAAGAGACTGTCCTTTCTGCAATGTATGTTCTTGACACTCTTATTGAAAATGAATTCACTGTAGATGTATGGATTTGTTTCTGTGTTCTCTATTCTGTTCTATTGTTCTGTGTGTCTGTGCCTGTTTTTATGCCAGTACCATTCTGTTTTAGTTGCTATAGCTCTGTAATATAATTTTAAGTCAGATAATGTGATTCCTCCAGTTTTGTTCTTTTTGCTTAGAATAGCTCTGGCTATTCTGGGTCTTTTGTGGTTTCATGTAAATTTTAGGATTATATTTTATGAACATACTTTTGTGAAGAACGTCATTGGTATTTTGATAGGGACTGTATTACATCTATAGATTACTTTGGATAGTAGGGACATTTTAACAGTATTGATTTTTCCAATCCATGAACATGGAATATCTTTCCATTTTTTGGTGTCCTCTTTAATTTCTTGCATCAGTGTTTATAGTGTTTCTTGCATCAGTGTTTATAGTTTTCATTGTAGAGATCTTTTACTCTTTTGATTAAGTTTATTCCTGGGTATTTTATTTGTAGCTATTGTGAACGAGATTACTATCTTGATTTCTGTTTCAGATTGTTCACTGTTGGCATATAGAAATGCTACTGATTTTTGTATGTTGATTTTGTATACTACAGTTTCACTGAATTTGCTTACTACAGAGAGATTAAAGGTAGTTGAGTCTGTTACTAAATGTGTTTTCTGTCACATTGAAAAATTATACCATGAGAAGGCACATGCTTCTAGAAATTACAGCTCATAGATATGTCAATGTACAGAATGCTGGTGTGACAGTTCACAATTGTTTACTTTCTAGTTTTCACTGGAAATTAAAGTTACTAAGGGTAAAGCAATCCCAGCACTGTGGGAAGCTGAGGCAGGATGATTGCTTAATGCCAGGAGTTTGAGACCAGCTGGGGCAATGTAGAGTGACCTCATCTGCAAAAAAAAAAAAAAAAAAAAAAAGAATTCTAATTAATATATGGTACTAGAATTACCAGAAATAATAAGGGAAACAACTCTGAAAAGAAGGTAAGATGTGTTTTGGGTAAGAACAACTATAAAGTATGAGGGGATGTTTGTTTTGTTAAGGAAAAAATAAAATAATATTTGTCCCAAAGTAGAATGCCTGGTTGTTAAGACAATGAGAAAGAGAAAGAGTATAGAAGAAAAACTGAATGGATATTAGAAAGTTGTAGAAGGTTGTGGGATAGGAATACTGGGAAGGGAATTTTATATGTGATCAAGCTAAGATTTGAAGAAAATTCTAAGTTTTTTTTTTTTTTTTTAAATTGAGCATTAATATCAAAAAATACTGATACAGAACTAGAAATTTGTCCTCTATGTTAAAACAACAAGGTTTTCTTGGAGTATTGGTCTGTTCTTAATAAGAAATTGAAAGACTTTTCTTTACCTGCTAAGTAATTGGCCTAGGAAATGCGATTCTGTGTTTTATCAAGATAATTTATTGTGCTTCATGTTGTCTTTATTAGATCTTTGACTGCCTCAGAGACCTGAGTCCACCCTATTAAAAGAGCAAGAGTTTCTACAATTATGTGGCTTTCTTTATTTGCCTTTGAAGTCTTTTACCAATCACTCTATTTAAATGAATAAATATTGCTTCATAGAGACCTGTGATCCTATTTTAATCAAATATTTTAAACCTTTTGATATTTTTGACATCTCAAAATCAAATTCTAAATTAAAACCTTTTGATGTTGAACAAACTTTGGAAGCTTCTAGATGGGCTTCTGGAATATCTCAAAAGAAATTGTTTTCTCTCCTGATTAAAAAAGAGAGATGTTAAACTAATTAGGCTTATTTGATATGTTATATTACATGGGAAGCATTGTCAAATTGTAAGTGATGCTGAACTTTCTTTAAGTCATATTGTATGGGTATGTTATTAATGTATGCTTCGGAAATAATATAAAATTCTTAGAAACCAGATAGTCATGGTATAACACTATCAGCCAAAATTCTAATTATCATGAAATATTATACGTTGTAGAAGTAATACAATTTCCTTATCAATTGCATCATTGTGAATTCTCATCATATCTTTAACCAAGTCCATTTTAAGCCTTGTCATCTACAAAGAGTTACTTTTTTTACACTGGTACTTTCCAGAACACTGTGAAAAACAATTATATAAAGTGTGTGGACCTATAGACAAACAACCAATCAAATCATAAAGTGTTCTTTTAAAAGATTCGTGGAAAGGACTCTGACAAGTATAGGTTTCTGATAACTTTAAGATCATACTACTGGACTGGGTAAGAATTTCCAGAACTCTAGTGAAGAAATGGATTGGTTCATAAAACTGCCAAACCAACATCAAGCAGAATCAGAATTAATTGAATACCAGGGAAATGCTTTGGCAGATTTTCATGCTAAGTCAGCTAGTACTGAAATTGTTAAGATATGCAATTAGAAAAACACCATAAGATTTATCTGAATTAAATTATCTATGATAACCTATTTAAACGAACAGCATCATGCACCTGAATTGGAGAAACAAAACTGATATTTAAAAGGATATAAATTTAGTGTTAAATGTGGCCTCATGGATCAGACAGCTATCTGGTCCTTTCTGAGTTCATATAGCTGCCATTATTAAAAGTTCTGCACTCTGACTCATCATAGACTAGATAACATGAAATTATGGAAAAAGATTGGTGTTATGACTGTTCTAAAATTGCTAAAATGGCTTATAATCAATGTTTGGTTTGTCAAATCCACAATTTTTATAAGACAATAAAAACCTCAGTTGGTACATTTCTACTATCCACTGGACTATTTGAACATTTACAGATGGATTGCATTCAGTTGCCTCATTGGGAATCTGCAGGAAACTTAGGTATGCTGGATATGTCATGTTGAACCAAATACTAATATGCTTTTAAAGATCTCCTAATTCACCCTATAACAGATTTCAACTGATATTCCAAGGTGACTGCCTATTCAGATTGAACATCTGGTCTTTCTATAGGGTTAGGCTTTTTGAGTCACATATTCAGATTTCGTGTTTAAAGCTAACAGTAGACAAAACATAGGAGAGGCTTTACAGTTAAATTCTTCCAGAAACTGAATAAGAAAACCAAAAGGAGAGATAATTAGATAGTTTGTAGACAAATTCATAACCCTAATTCTCTAATTGTTGGTAGCCTCCATTGATGACAATTAATAGTGGAGCCTTAGATAAATACGACTATTGCTTCCCTGTTGATGACCCCTGTAGCACACAGTGGGAACAGGGAACAGGGAACTGTCTCTTGTGCCCCTCCAGCATATGTTTTTATCTGTGAAGGATTTAACTGTCAATCATAGGTACAGGCAACTCCATGTCCAAATCAGTAGGAAATAAGAAGTCAGTGTGGATTAGGGATTCTAACAGGAACACTGTTACTCCATAACCAACTGGAAATTTGACATTATTCTGTACATCTTAATTTGCACTATGGTATAAAAAGGAACTTTCTAGCAGGTGCAAATCCTTCTAAATGGGTATCTTTTGTTCAAATGCTCCTTCCCTGGCTTGGAATAAATGTAAATGAGGTTATGATTAGAAATCCCTTTCAAACATTAGCTATTACAGCTGACTCTACTGCAAAGGCTATAGTTTCCCAGTGAAGTTCTCTAAATTCTCTTGCTAAAATTTCTTTAAATAACAGGATTGCCTTGAACTATCTGTTGGTTCATAGTGGGGGTGTGCGTGTGTGATAGGGGATACTGCGTATAATAGCTAATATATCCTACTGCACTTGCGTAAAGGAATCTGTTATAAAGAAAATGAAATAAGGTATAAAAGCTGGAAAGAAGAAAACCATCATTATGTCTTGAGGATGATTGGGGATACAGAAAATGAAAAGAATCCACAAACTATTAGAATTACTAAGTTAGTTAAGCAAGGGTACTCAATGCATGGTCAGTATACAAAATTTAATTGAATTTTGACATATATGTATATGCCATATTGTGTTAGATTGTTTTGCATTGCTATAAGGGAATACCTGAGGCTGGGTACTTTATAAAGAAAAGAGGTTTATTTGGCTTATGGTTCTGCTGGCTGTACAAGCATGGCACTTGCATCTGTCTGACCTTAGGAAGCCTTTACTCATGGTGGAAGAAGGGGCAGCAGGCATGTCACATAGTGAGAGAGGGAGTGAGAGGGAGGGAGCAAGAGTGAAGGGGGAGGTCCCAGACTCTTTTTAAACAACATGAAATCCTGTGAACTAACAGAGTGAGAACTAACTTATTACCATGAAGAGCACACCAAGCCATTCATGAGGGATACACCTTCATGACCCAAACACTTTCCACCAGCTCCTACCTTCAACACTGGGGATCACATTTCAACATGAGATTTGGAGAGGAAAAATATCCAAACCATATCACATATATAAATATGTAAAACTATTTAAATGTTTTAAAAGTATCGAATAAGAATAAATCTTACAAAATATACTTAAGAACTTTAAGCAAAAACCATAAAATACTACTGTGATAAGTTAAAGAAGACCTAAATAAATGGAGAGATCTGTCATGCTCATGGATTGGAAGATTCAATACTGTAATGATGTGAATAGTTCCCAAATTGTTCTATAGATTCAATACATTGCCAATTAAAATCTCAGTGGACTTTGTTTTTTGAAACTGACAAGCTGATTCTGCCATTTATAATAATATTCAAAGGGGCAAGAATAACCAAGACACATTTGAAGAACAAGAAGGAGGAAGAAGAACGTATTTGAGGAAGAATAAGGAACTCTATTAAATATATATCTCCTAGATATTGAGGTATACATTTGAAATACATCTATTGCCTAGATATTGAGATATATTATACATTTAATATAGTGTGTTGCTGGTATAGGGATAAATGAACATTGGATCAGAATAGAGAGCACTGAAACAAGATCTACCCCTATATGGACATGTGCCTATTGACAAATAAAATACTGTTGATTATTTCCCCAAGATGGTCTGTAAAAAATAGGTTAATCAAACATCCATATGGGAAAAAAGTGAATCCTTCTGCTACCTCATATATCAACCTCAGGTAGACTATAGATCTAAAAGTGAAAGGCAAAGCAATAAAGATTTTAGAAAATAACAAAGAGAATATCTTTGTGAAAATACAGGAAATATTTTAAAAATAGGCCAGAAAACTCACTATTAAAATATATGAAATATAAGAACATCTGTTCATCAAAGTACTATAGTTTGAATAGTGTGTCTCCTCCAAAATTCATATTGAAACTTAATCCCCATTGTAACAGTACTAATCCTAAAACGAAGTATTAAGAGGTGTGACCTTTGGGAAGTTACTAAGTCATGAGGGCTCTTTCCTCAGGTATGGGATTAGCATCCTTATAAAAGGGCTTGAGATTGAAGGTAGTGCCCCCTTGCCCTCTTGCATTCTCCCATGTGAGGACACAGCAACAAGACACCGTCTTGGAAGGAGAGAGAAGCCCTCACCAGACACCAATGCACATGCCTTGATCTTAGACTTTTCAGCCTCCAGAGCTATAGTAAATACATTTCTGTTTTTTATATATTATCCAGTCTCTGGTATTTTGTTATAGAAGCACTAATGGACCAAGACAAAAATATTCCATTATGAAAGTGAAAAGGCAACCACAGAGTGGCAGAAGCTTTTGGAGATGATGAATATGTTTACTTTCTGGATTTTGGTGATGATACCACGAGTGTATACATATGTATGTATACATAATGTGTACAAATTATGTACATTGATTATGTATAATGTACATAAGTTTCTTTGTATACCAATTATACCTTAATAAAGCTAAGAAAAAAAGCGTATCCAGAATAAATATGCATGGAATGGCCCATTTATTTAAAAAAATAAGAGGAGGGAATACGAAGCAGTGGTTTTGGTGCAAACATAAAAATTCTGGCTCCAACAGCATTTACATTCCCAAACCAAGCATATTTATGTTTTAATTCTTTGTGGCCATAAATTGTACAGCTCAGGCCTTTATAATCTCTCAGATTCTGTGAATGTGGGAAATTAGTTTTACCCATAAAAATGTTTTGTTCTTGGGGATAAATTTTTAAAAAATTTTTGCATAGTTAGCACACTGAGAAAATACAGACAAAGGCATACAGATGCAAGGAATGGGGTAGCTGAATAGAGCCAAAGAATGATATAGGGCCCAGAAGGTGGGCAAAGAGAAAGTTGTTGGGTTTATGGTTACAAGTAAACTAGCAGTTGTGGTACAGATAGTTTTATTTCCCCCACATTCATCTGAACAGCCCATCCAGACTTAAACACTACTTTCTGCATTTACTTCTAGGCAGGAAGACAGGGTTCTAATGGTGTGAGTCTCCTTCAACCCAACAAACCACCTAGGTCTGCCTGGAGTTTCCCACACCCCTCCTGCCTGCTAGTGATAGGTGCGAGGCAAGTCGATGCACATGCAACTTTTGTCTTTTGGTCCCAAAGCATGCTACTCCTGGAGTTTCCTTCAGTGAATGAGAACTATAATTTGGTTCTGTGAGATATGTATGAATCAAGCGGGGCATTGAAGCAGAGAAAAGAAATGCTTAAATGTTAAGAAAGTTTGAAGTGCAGAAAAAGGTGATTGTAAATCCATATGGTTAAGCCTAACCCATTTCTTAAAAGGCTTGATTGCTCATTCCCCCATTCATTGATTTACTCATTCTTCCAATCTGTGTTATTGAGTCTTGCTCTGTATTTCCAGATGGTTGTGCTCTTAAGTACTGCATAGTGGTTGTATATCTGTGTTAGTGTTGCTGAATGTATCAGGGAATTAATTTTTTATCCTCATTCATTCGTTCCATTCGTGTGTTTCTCTCTCTCTCTCGAAAACATTTCTCAAGAATTAGAATTATGATATGCTGTCAAACACAGTGACTCATTTGAACCTCTTTTATTTGTAGGTTGAATCACTGGACAATGCCACATACTTTGTGGATGGTGTGGGTCTTGGGGGTCATCATCAGCCTCTCCAAGGAAGAATCCTCCGATCAGGCTTCTCTGTCTTGTGACCACAATGGTATCTGCAAGGGCAGCTCAGGATCTTTAAACTCCATTCCCTCAGGACTCACAGAAGCTGTAAAAAGCCTTGACCTGTCCAACAACAGGATCACCTACATTAGCAACAGTGACCTACAGAGGTGTGTGAACCTCCAAGCTCTGGTGCTGACATCCAATGGAATTAACACAATAGAGGAAGATTCTTTTTCTTCCCTGGGCAGACTTGAATATTTAGACTTATCCTATAATTACTTATCTAATTTATCGTCCTCCTGGTTCAAGCCCCTTTCTTCTTTAAAATTCTTAAACTTACTGGGAAATCCTTACAAAACCCTCGGGAAAACATCTCTTTTTTCTCATCTCACAAAATTGCGAATCCTGAGAGTAGGAAATATGGACACCTTCACTGAGATTCAAAGAAAAGATTTTGCTGGACTTACCTTCCTTGAGGAACTTGAGATTGATGCTTCAGATCTACAGAGCTATGAGCCAAAAAGTTTGAAGTCAATTCAGAATGTAAGTCATCTGATCCTTCATATGAAGCAGCATATTTTACTGCTGGAGATTTTTGTAGATCTTACAAGTTCCGTGGAATGTTTGGAACTGCGAGATACTGATTTGGACACTTTCCATTTTTCAGAACTATCCACTGGTGAAACAAATTCATTGATTAAAAAGTTTACATTTAGAAATGTGAAAATCACCGATGAAAGTTTGTTTCAGGTCATGAAACTTTTGAGTCAGATTTCTGGATTGTTAGAATTAGAGTTTGATGACTGTACCCTTAATGGAGTTGGTGATTTTAGAGGATCTGATAATGACAGAGTTATAGATCCAGGTAAAGTGGAAACGTTAACAATCCGGAGGCTGCATATTCCACAGTTTTACTTATTTTATGATCTGAGCACTTTATATTCACTCACAGAAAGAGTTAAAAGAATCACAGTAGAAAACAGTAAAGTTTTTCTGGTTCCTTGTTCACTTTCACGACATTTAAAATCATTAGAATACTTGGATCTAAGTGAAAATTTGATGGTTGAAGAATACTTGAAAAATTCAGCCTGTGAGGATGCCTGGCCCTCTCTACAAACTTTAATTCTAAGGCAAAATCACTTGGCATCATTGGGAAACACCGGAGAGACTTTGCTTACTCTGAAAAACTTGACTAACCTTGATATCAGTAAGAACACTTTTCATTATATGCCTGAAACTTGTCAGTGGCCAGAAAAGATGAAATATTTGAACTTATCCAGCACGCGAATACACAGTGTAACAGGCTGCATTCCCAAGACACTGGAAATTTTAGATATTAGCAACAACAATCTCAATTTATTTTCTTTGAATTTGCCGCAACTCAAAGAACTTTATATTTCCAGAAATAAGTTGATGACTCTACCAGATGCCTCCCTCTTACCCATGTTACTAGTGTTGAAAATCAGTAGGAATACAATAACTACATTTTCTAAGGAGCAACTTGACTCTTTTCACACACTGAAGACTTTGGAAGCTGGTGGCAATAACTTCATTTGCTCCTGTGAATTCCTGTCCTTCACTCAGGAGCAGCAAGCACTGGCCAAAGTCCTGGTTGATTGGCCAGCAAATTACCTGTGTGACTCTCCATCCCATGTGCGTGGCCAGCGGGTTCAGGATGTCCGCCTCTCAGTGTCGGAATGTCACAGGGCAGCACTGGTGTCTGGCATGTGCTGTGCTCTGTTCCTGCTGATCCTGCTCATGGGGGTCCTGTGCCACCGTTTCCACGGCCTGTGGTACATGAAAATGATGTGGGCCTGGCTCCAGGCCAAAAGGAAGCCCAGGAAAGCTCCCAACAGGGACATCTGCTATGATGCGTTTGTTTCTTACAGTGAGCGGGATGCCTACTGGGTGGAGAACCTTATGGTCCAGGAGCTGGAGAACTTCAATCCCCCCTTCAAGTTGTGTCTTCATAAGCGGGACTTCATTCCCGGCAAGTGGATCATTGACAATATCATTGACTCCATTGAAAAGAGCCACAAAACTGTCTTTGTGCTTTCTGAAAACTTTGTGAAGAGTGAGTGGTGCAAGTATGAACTGGACTTCTCCCATTTCCGTCTTTTCGATGAGAACAATGATGCTGCCATTCTTGTTCTTCTGGAGCCCATTGAGAAAAAAGCCATTCCCCAGCGCTTCTGCAAGCTGCGGAAGATAATGAACACCAAGACCTACCTGGAGTGGCCCATGGATGAGGCTCGGCAGGAAGGGTTTTGGGTAAATCTGAGAGCTGCGATAAAGTCTTAGGTTCCCACATTTAAAGCCAGTCTTTGTCTAGTTGGGATCTTTATATCACTAGTTGTAGATAAGTTCATTCAGACATAATTATATAAAAACTACATGGATGTACCGTCATTTGAGGACTTCCTTACTAAAACTACAAAACTTCAAATTTTGTATAGGGTGCTGTTTTGTAAACATATGCCAGATTTAAAAATTGGTTTTTGGTTTTTCGTTTTTTCTATGAGATAACCATGATCATAAGTCTATTATTGATATCTGAATATAGTCCCTTGGTATCCAAGGGAATTGGTTGCAGGATCCTCGTGGATATCAAAATTCATAGACAATCAAGTCCCTTATAAGAGTGGCATAGTATTTGCATATAACCTATTTACATTCTCCTGTATACTTTAAATCATCTCTAGATTACTTATGATACCCAATACAATGTAAATACTATGTAAATAGTTGTACTGTCTTTTTATTTGTATTATTATTGTATTGTTATTTTTTATTTTCAAATTTTTTAAAACATACTTTTGATCCACAGTTGGTTGACTTCATGGATGCAGAGCCCATGGATATAGAGGGCCAACTGTAATCTGTAGCAATTGGCTTAGTTCATTAGGAAATAGCACAAATGAACTTAAGATTCTCAATGACTGTGTCATTCTTTCTTCCTGCTAAGAGACTCCTTTGTGGTCACAAAAGGCATTCTCTGTCCCACCCAGCTGTCACTTCTCTGTGCAACTGATCTCAAGAGCAACAAGGCAAAGTATTTGGGGCACTCCCCCAAACTTGTTGCTATTCCTAGAGAAAAGTGCTGTATATTTCCTATTAAACTTTACAGGATGAGAAATACCTAGAGGGTGTATTTTCATGTGATCTGGATCTTTCTGGCTATTTGATAGGTTTCTCCAGCCATAGTTACTTGAGAGAGTGACTACACAGCGCAAGGTACAGTAAATTATGTATTTCTGTAATTTAACAAAATAAATACTCAGTTTAGGAGAATTTGAAAGACAGTTCCCACATCTGGACTCTGGTCTTCCTCAGCCTCTATCTTTTGAGTTCTAGTTATTGTCCAATCACTCTGACTCTCAGTTCCTGTTTTTTAGTCTATTTCCCCAGCATCTTGTTGCTTTTTCCTTCTTTGAAAAGTCTTGTTTTTAATTCTAAAAAGGCCTTCCCTTTTCCCCCTTCTGAATATTTTTAAAAGTACATGTGAGTTAAATAGATTTTTAAGCAAATATATACCTAGAGGTTCCTCATAGTGACTCAAAAATAGTTTGATACACAATAATTTAAAGGTAGATACTATTACCATGTGTTAATTTTGCAATCTAGGCATAATAATACCACACATTAAATTTTGATGCAACGTTCTTTGGTAAGAGCTATTTGCTGATTCTATGCAACTTTCTTCTTAAGCTGGGAACCACGTGAAAGGAAGTGAGCCTTCTTTGACCCCTGCTCAATTCTCAACCAGAACTGGGTTTATGTGGTTAATTGGGCACTGGAGTCAGAAAGACCTGGGTTAGTAGACGTGTAATCTTTGGCAAGTCACTTGACATGACCTAAAAAGTTTTTGTGTCTTTAAAATAGGGAAGATGATCTCTATATCCTAAGGTACTGAGAGTATGAAATGTAGGAATGTAAGTAAACCATGAGCCTAAGCTCCTTGATTCCCATTTTCTCTGGAGGGGTGAGGAGGGCAAGAGTACCACGCCTAAGAGAATGGGCACCATGGGTTCGTGTGTGGGGTGAGGATGTCTGTAGTAGATGTTAGCTATTATTATTATTATTTTCCAAGAAGATATTTCATTCCCTGATATATTATGGCTTGTAAATGGATATTTTTCTGTTGCGGATACTAGCAGGGATATAAGGGATCCTGCTGTTTGCAGAAAAATACCACTAAGAAATATGCTCATTAAGTGCAGAACAAGCTTGTCCTTGGGGAACTCACACAGGGCTGCTGCTGTTTCATGCAACCTCCCAGAAGAGTGTTATGGAAGAAACGGTAGCCAGCCTAAAAAAAATCAGGCCCAGTGTAATCCCAGCACTTTGGGAGGCTGAGGCAGGAGGATTGCTTGAGCCCAGGAGTCAGAGACCAGCCTGGGCAACATGGCAAAACCCTGTCTCTACCAAAAAATACAAAATACTAGCAGGGCATGGTGGCATGTGCCTCTGGTCCTAGCTACTCGGGAGGCTGATTTGGGAGAATCACCTGAGCCCAGGAGGTCCAGGCTGCAGTGAGCTGTGATTGCACCACTGCACTCCAGCCTGGGTGAAGAGCAAGACACTGTCTCAAAAAAAAAAAAGTTTAGAAGAAGGAAACTTGAGGAGATTCCACAGACACCAAACACAGCAATGGACTTTCTGCTTTACTTCTCTGTTTCCTACATTAAGCACCATGTTAATTATGAGAACCAGGTAGATTTAACATTGACTTGATCTATATTTAATTTCAAGAACTTAAAATAGCAACTGAAACAGCTTCGTAGTTAATTGATAGATTTAAAATAATCTTTAAAAAATAATCTTTAGGACAGGCGTGGTGGCTCATGCCTGTAATCCCAGCACTTTGGGAGGCTGAGGTGGGAGGATCACCTGAGGTGATGTGGTGCCTATTCACATTAAAGGTGGGTCTTCCTCTCCTGGTCCACTGACTCAAATGTTAATCTCCTCTGGCAACACCCTCACAGACACACCAGAAACAATAAGAGCTATCCAGGCATCCTTCAATCCAATCAAGTTGACACCTAGTATTAGCCATAATACTCTCCAATCTTTTTTCAGTGTGTGTATACACACTACTGTACAAAATTGGGATTAGATTGTAAATACTTAAACTTTATAAAGAAAATGGCATCTTCATTTTTTTTTCTGAGGCTGTTTAGTGATTATCTGACATTCCTGAACTCTGAGGGTCATTGTGAATCCCCATTCAGGTAAATACTGGCTTATTTGCCCAGAGTTCTAAATGGTTCTAAAAGCTACCATTGCGGCTATCCATGAAAGATAAGTGGGAACTAAATTAGAGATCAGTTTAAGGGTTCTTTTTTTGTTTAACAGAAGAAAAACTAATTTTTTGTTTTTAGTGCTTTATCCAAATGTGAAGTCTTTTATTTGTCAATAGACTACAAGCTCAAGAATCTTGTTTTATCTTCCCACCCCTTGGACATGTCTACTATATAATAAGTGTTGAATTATTGGAATGTTTTCAGAGCAGAGAAATAATTAAGAATTCTATAATCTGGATGCTGAATCAATCATAATGAGAGAGGAGAACATGAAAAATCAGTTGTGTAGACAGCTAAGGCTAGTCTTCAGAGAAGCAGCCTGCCTGAAAAATCACAGCTACAGGCAAAAATAGAGCAGCCTGGGGAAAACTCAGACTGCACCTGCACAGATAAGCAGGCAAGGTCCAGCACAGGAGCCTTTTGTTCTTTGTGTGATTAGCAGGCTTCCAGGAAAATGTTCCCTCTCAGACATGAACAAGGGGGACTCCATGGGAGATTGCACTGCAAACAGAGGGGGCTTACCTAAAACAAACCCACAATTATTCAAATGAGAAAAAAAGCTATGCTTTGTGCTTACCTAGAGACATCTCACAGCTGTATAGACAGGTGGAGTTGTGAAGACAGGTTTCCAAATAAGAGAAGTTACTCAAACAGCTACAGGGATGAGAGGAGTTTCTTATATGAAAGCTTTTTCGACTGTAAAATGGCACCCCACTTGGGCTCTCCTCTCCACTGTGGAGAGCTTTCTTCTTTCACTTATTAAACTTTTGCTCCAACCTCACCCTTTGCGTCCATGCTCCTTAATTTTCTCAGTTATGACACAATAAGTTCAAATAACACCTTAGACAATGAGACCATGGACCCTGACCTATTTCAATAATATTGAAGCATTGGGCAGTTTGAAAGAGGAAAGTTCTCAACAATTAGAAATTGTAGTGTGAGTTATCTTAATGATGGACCTTTGAATAGCATTGAGTACAGTGCCAATATCTGAACAAGGAAAATAATCATTGTATTTCCTTTCTACTTCATACAAGTGTAATGGCTTCAAGTATTGCAGCATAGATGTCTGGTGTTAACGTATGCAGTGTTGGCTGTTTAAAAAATGACCAGTAATTTAAAACAAATTAATTTTGAGAATCTAACATACCATTCATGGGTTAATTCTTTCTGACTGGTCTTCTCCATTCAGTTAATTTTGTTCCCTTCTGCCAGATTAATTTACTCTTTCAACAAATATTTTTTGAGTGCTTATTATGTGCTAGGCAGTGCTCGAAGTGTAGGGGATATGGTAGGGAACAGATAAAATTCCTTGTCTTCATGGAGGAGAAGACAATAAAATTTATGATTGGATTTCAGGAATTGATAAGTGCTATGAAGAAAATAAAAGCAGAGTGCCACAATGGAATGACTGTGCACCTGTGTGTGTGCACGCACACGCACACGCACACGCACAGTGGAACAAAAGAAAAGTGATTCTTCTTCTTTAGTACAGCTGTTGCATGGGTTTGAGTACTTTTGGCAGCTCCAGGAAACCCAAAGTACCTGTGGCCCATTGAGAAGGTGTGGCCCCTGCTGCCAGAGGCTTTAGGAGTAACCTACTTTCTACAGAAGAGCTCTGTGGTGCAGAAGCTGCCACATGGTAACAAGCACATGGTGCAGAAGACAAGCACAATGTCCTTAACTACAGATTACTTAACAACTCCACCTACTTTAAAGATGTTGAACTGATGAGAAAGTATTAGCTACGGCTCAATGTTGTATGTGAGAAGTACTTTGCAAACCTCTGAAACACTTTACACATACTGTTATCAGTCAAACTGGAAGTAGAATGTCCACAGTGCAGTGTAACAAATGTGACATAAGCATGAGTTAAGAAACAGCTGTAATTGGAAATATGAAAAAACATGCTTTATTTGTTTATTCCATTGTTCAGCTTCTCTTTAAATTCTTTCCACATAGACAAACTACTTGACAACAAAGTTTACTTAGTTTTCTAAACATTTGGGATCATCTCTAAAATTAAAAAAATTAATATTAAATGTAGGATCAAGGATTTCAACCATACAATATATTGCTTCTGGGGTCTGCTGTACTATTCCAGCCCTAGTGAATAGTTAATGCCTTGAACTATTCCTATCACCACAGGTTGCCAGGCCACCAAATAACGAAGCCAATCCAGGATTTGTCCGTAGAGAAAATGTGTGCGCTCCCAGCTAAATCTCAGTTAAGGAGGTTGTTCTGTATACAGCCAAGTAGCAGAAATATTCATAAATATTCATAAATGTCATTTGCAAATATAATAAACAATGTAATGAATGGTATTTCCTTTCTTGTTAATTCAATGTGCTCAATTAAAAGCCCCTTATGTGAGTTTTATAGCATTATCGTTATCATTGTTAACTTACACCACACCCAATTTCTGAAAATAAATTGAAGCTCTTTAAAATAAAATCCCAAACTAGAAAACAAGAATCAAAGGCAAGGGTATATGCTAAAAGAAGGAAGAAGAGGGGAATGACTGTATTGGAAAACCAAGGATAGTAGAAGCTGCTCTAAATGAGCAAAAACAGCTCTGGGCTTTCCCGTAGTCATACACCAGAATGAACCCACTGTATATTACAAAGAGTAACACTGGTTCATCAGATAAGAAAGACCTTTTTCTGCTGTCTTTGATAAACTGTGCTAGGGAGCTTAATGAATGCACAGTGTCCCTAACAACAATTTTACAAACAAAATGACAGCTTTTTCACATGTAGTTTTTTCTTATATTGAGTTTCAATAAAAGAGTAGTACATGTTTTGTTCAAGTTTACTTTCTCAAGACTACATAAAAAGAAATCAATTGCCCTTTGTTAAAGTATCATTTGAGGTGACATTTATGATCATATTATCAATTTTATAACAAAGATTTATGCACTGAGGTTTGATAAGTTAATAACCAAAAACTGTTCTGGATTTGGGATCCTCATTTTAGAAGAGGAATTCCGGGACAGTGGATGAACAGGAAGGTGGAAGGATCATCACACACCTTTAGCCTTCAGTTGTGTTTGAGTGGCACTGACTCACCGAGAAAGGCCGGGTCTGTGGATGGAGTGGGCACTGCAGAGCGTGGTCTCTTGCAATGCGATGGGCCTTGAGACCCAAAGATCCACTGATGCTGCCTCCTTCTCTGATGCACTCCTTGAATCCCTCCCTGGTCTGCAGTTCCCAGAGATGAGGGCATTGCTGCCAATAGCCACTGTTACACCATATGTGTAGGGTTGGTGAGGAACGGGGGAGCAGAGAGCAAGGAAGGTGATTCCTTTAGCAAAGTAAAATTTAGCTGACTGTTACTTAGAAAGTACAGAAAAGCTGTCTCTTAGAGAAGAGATAGTACTTGGCAGGTTGATGCCAACCTCTCAGGGCTCTTCTGCTTAAGGGAGGATATGTTTTAATTCCATTCCCACCCCGCTTCCTGAACAAGATATACTATGGTCTTGAGATAGTGAGGTTGAAGACTAAGTCTTTCTAGTTAGCGCCGGATGGGGGCCATTACCTTCCTGTGACCTTAATGTGACCTGATTTTATTCTGTTGTGCATCTCTGACGTCTATACAAATCTCAGCTGCTGCCAGAAGCTGACCAACTCTGTAGATCTTTATTTCTTTTCAATATTGTTATCACTAGTGTTTGGCCTAAGAAGAGATGATGCATGGCATGGAATTTAAAAAGCCAAAATCCAGATGCAGAAATAACTACTCATTTCCGGGAATAATAAAATTTAGTACACCCTAACATATTTAAAAAATAGTTTTCTGTACTCTGGTTCAAATTTCAGCTTTTAAAATTTCAATTCCAATTTTTCTATTTATGCACCTATCCACCCACCCATCCAATTCACCCATTTATTCATCCATCAAATGTGATGCAATGTCTCATCACATTTCCACTACAGCCCTTAATGTGGAAAATATAGAACATAAAGAGTGGAATGTTTTCTGGCATTTAATTTTCTAACCAGAATAGTAATATAGGCACAGAGGAGAAAAGAGACCATAAATCATTTTGAAATAGATGGTTAGGGAAAACAGGAAATTTTCTGCTGGAACTATACAAAAATACTGAAAGTTTTCATTGAAGAATATATCCCCAGAAACATTCAAGATAATCTCTTATCACCTTTTTGTTTTAAAGGATATGGATTACTGATCATCCTCTTCAAATCAACCTTCTCTTTGCAGTAAGGGCAAGTCTGCTTTTTCCCAACGATACACCAACCTCGGATGCAGAATTCATGAAAGCTGAAGCATCTTGTTAGGGAGGCTTCTAGATATGAAAAGGCAATGTCTGGTTCATGATGGTATGAAATGGTCCCATCTTCGGGGTCTAGTGGTGGAGTCAAGACTTGATGAGGCACATCGCTTTTTTCGGGAGGTTCTGTAAGGGACCTGACAATGACAGTGTGCTTGGAGTCACAGCTGCATTCGCTTTATGACTCTGAGGAATTTACTTAGCTTCTTGGCCTTCTTGCCTCACTTGATTCTGGTAAGAATTAGATTAGATAAAGAATGTGAGTCCTTTTTTTTTTTCCCTTTACAGTGATGTCTTCCATAAGTGTATTGGAGTTCCCCACCTGTTATTGTGCATTTCTCATGCATTTACTGAAGCATTTCTCCGTTCTACTTTTTGTGCATTATTCATTAGCTTCCTGTAATCAGACTTGTCTTAGACAGTTAGACAAGTTAAAATTATTTGTGGTCATAAAGTTACAAATATTTCTATTCATAATTTTTTTCTTGACTTTTAAAAGTACTAATAAGGAGCCAATTATTTTTAATAGAATATATGCCTACTAAACTTAACTTCTCAAACTCTAGGCATTTACAGATCCATTTGTATACATCTCCTGGTCCAGAAAGTCTGACCCTTTGTCCCCAAACTTGAGAGTGACCCCAAGTGTTCTCACAGCACCAGGGACTTACTCTAGTGTGGCATGACTTTTGGCACTTACATGTTTCTCCTAGACCATGTGTTACCTGTAGGACTCTGTCTCATTCATTTCAGTGTCCTCAGCACCTTAAGCCATGCCTAAGAAATATTTATTGAATGAACATTTGAATGACTCCTTCAAAACTGATTATTTTTGGAAATATATATTTCCATGTTCCCTGATACTATGGATTTGGACAAAATGAACTATAATGAAATCCATCCTATTGATTTGTTTATTTCTACAATCGCTGCTCCCAATGTGACTTTCTGGGCCAAGATCACATGATCTGACTGGCCTGCTACACACCCAGGTGAACAGCAATGATGTAGAAGTTCCCTCCCTAACAAATGGCGGAGCTTGGAGGTGTAGCAAGTCAAGGCCATGTATATAACTCCTCAGTATTAAATTTCAGTGTAACCAGGAGTTTCCATTATTTTGGTCTTGGGATTGGGGTCATTTTTGCAATATGCTTTAAAATAAAGTGGTGTATTATAACAAAGATTTTGAACCAAAACTCAAACAGCCTTTCATTCAAAAGGGCTGGAATACAGCTCCATCTTCCACAGAGGTACAGAATTCAGGAGCCATTGAGCCAGCACTGAAATGTCCACATTCTCTTTAATGTTCTTTTTCATTTTCAAATCTCAATGCTGAAAAACTTCCACACTGGCAGAACTGCTGCAGAGCAAGACTCAGATAACCCATCCTTGTTAATATGACTCTCATTTGCCCATTTCTCACTAATATGACTCATGCTAAAATGGGCCATTAATAATACTCCCTGAAAAGCAAATTTAAAGGTGACTAC